TATATATATATATATATATACACACACACACACACACACTGTATATATAATGTTTTTACTATTATTTTTATATTTTTAATAAAAAAATTGTTTAAAAAGTAATATTTAAAAAATCTGAAAATGTTTAAATAATATAATTTTTTTATAAAATTTGTTTACTAATAATTCAAATTAATTTTAACATTTTAAAATGACTAAATATATACAAATCTATGTAATAATTTTGTTTTTTAAAATAAACTTTAATTATTATTAAAAATAAAAATAATTAAATACATTAAAATTAATTAAAACAAGTCCATGCATAATTTTAATATGAGAAAACAAAAGGAAAACATTTTTCTTACTTGCTTTTATAGTTGTTGAGGGCATCAAGAATATACTGGCCCCGTTCAGACAGAGGAGTATTGGAGAGCTAAAGGGTAAGAAATAGGTAAGAAAGTCTTTGCGAGAAACTGATTGTGTGATATGGTGTTTTATTATGAGACATTTCTTTTGCTGGTGCCTTGAGCTGTCATGTTTCAATGAAGACAAATGAAGCCCGTAGGCTTTGCTGTAGTTGTTAAGTCTTCCATAAAGTGTGAGCAATTTAGCAGTGCTGTTTTCTCAGATTACACTTGACAATAAACAAGCAGTTAGAATGACAAGAGATGATGCACAACAAAAAAACAGGCTTATTTTCACTACACATGTCTATCAAATGAACTGCTTTTCAGTACCTAGCAATTACAGCAGTCTACAGACAAATCTCTAGCACTGTTTTTATTTGCTTTCAAATGTCTTTGAAGGTGAAGTGTGTCATTTTTACATCACTAGTTGTACAAAATGGAATGACACGTTTATGGTTGCTAGAATGTTCTGGGTGTTGCCTTGTGAATGCTACGGTGTTTTGTGGTTACTAGGACATTATTGGGGTGTTCTGTGTGGTTACTAGGATGTGTCTAGAGTGTTCTGGGTGTTGATTTGCTGTTGCTAGTGTGTTCTGGGTATTGTAATGTGGTTGATAGGGTTTTTTGGGTGGTTACTAGGACGTTGTTAGAGTGTTATGGTTGTTGTTATGGTGTATGCACACAAAAAGCGAATAATATTTTTTGCGCGAGTAGACGTACTCATACAAAGTCAATGCAAAGTGCCAGGCGACACGAATGATGCGAATTGGGTGACGCGTTTGCTGCAAATGCACGATATTCAATATAAACGCATGACTCACTCGTGTTTTCCGAGCAAGTAAAAAAATTTCAACTCGAGCGGAAAATTTGCATGATGCGTTGTCGTGCACGCCAATCAGCGAAGAGCTTATTGACAAGTTCTTGTCACTTGTCAAGGTGCTCTGGTTGTTGCTATGCAGTTGCTAGTGTGTTCCTGGTGTTGCTGTGGTTGCTAGGGTATTCTGGGTGGTTACTAGGGCGTTGTTAGGGTGTTCTAGTTCTTGCTGTGCAGTTGCTAGTGTGTTCTGTGTGTTGCTATGTGGTTGATAGGGTGTTCTGTGTGTTGCTATGTGGTTGATAGGGTGTTCTGTGTTGTTACTAGGATGTTTCTATGGTGTTCTGGTTGTTGCTATGCAGTTGCTAGTGTGTTCTGTGTGTTGCTCTGTGTGCTAGGATGTTTTGGGTGGTTACTAGGGCGTTGTTAGGGTGTTCTAGTTGTTGCTATGCTGTTGCTTGTGTTTTCCTGGTGTTGTTGTGTGGTTGCTAGGGTGTTTTGTGTGATTACTAGGGCATTACTAAGGTGTTACCATGTGCTTGATAGGCTGTTCTGGGTGGCTGCTAGGGCATTTCTAGTGTGTTCCGGTTGTTGCTATGAGGTTGTTAGTGTGTTCTATTGATTAGTGTGTTGATATGCAGTTGCTAGTTTGTTCTGGGTGTTGCTATCATAGATATACATATATGTAGATGCCTCATTAGCGACTGTTTCAATGGGCTGCGATGTAAGCCATCCGCCATTTTTGGAACGGTCTGCGAACATTTGAGCGCGCTGACTGTGTGCATCTACAACTGCAAGGTATACGCTTGTAGATCTTTGAATACTCATTGATAATTATGGTGAATAGGTATTTCGGTCGAATAGGGAATCTATACATATCTATGGTTGCTATGTGGTTGCTAGGGTGTTCTGGGTGGTTCCTAGCATATTGTTAGAGTGTTATTGTTGTTGCTATGCAGTTGCTAGTGTGTTCCGGGTGTTGCCATGTGGTTGACAGGGTGTTCTGAATGGTTACTAGGGTGTCACTTGGGTGTTCTCTCTGGGTAGTTGCTTATTGACTAAACGTCCACTTAAAGCCCATCCAAAAATTACACTACACTTTATTGTTTAAATTACACTCTTTCCCTTAAATGTTTTTCTAAAAAGATTGTGAATATTAAATGACAGGAAAAGCTTGATTGTATCACCTTGCCCATCTGGAAATGGTCCCAGTTGTTGCTGATGAAGGTCAGGATCTCCTCTAGTTCAAAATATTTCTTTTTACTTTGGACTCCCAGGTTGTACAGGGCAAGATGGACCACATCCACCCTGCAAATGAAAAATAATTGGGACTGAAAACAAGAAAACCTCACATAAAATTCTAGAGACTAATCTGAAGATGTCCTAAAGCAGAAATGCTCTTAAATCAAATGATGTCGACAAAATCTGCATGAACTGTCACATGGTTAAACAGAGTGTCGTTCCATTCACAAGGCAAGGTCCATTTTAACACACCAGACTTTTTAAGAAGGATAAAGCTTAAATCTGAACTGAGACTGGCTTCATACCTAAATATCCAACACATCCAGCTCACTGTATTTCAAGAGTAATCCCCTGCTATCATAAGAAATCCTCTCAGCACCAAATCTTCCTTTCAAATGGCTATTTCTCATTTGGGACAAAAAGCAAGAATCAATGTCCAGACAAACTCTACTCTAATAAAAAAAAACCCGCAATGCCCCCTCTTTACTTTCTGAAATAGAGAGAAAACGCTCTAGCTCTGTCCCACATCAATCACATCCGACACTTTGACTATATAATTCTGACATGGATCTGGGCACAATCACTTGCGAGGGGGAAAAGAAGAGCAGCCATTTACCATCTGAGAGCCAGCCGCTTGATGTATTCCGCTCCTTTATTGCACACCGCACAAATGAACAAGTAAAACCTATGTGAGAAAAGACAGAAAATAGAGGCATTTAAATTATACACCTTGGAGAGGTACAAACGGCGCTGCAGCCGCAGACAAATTGTGCTTGACAGTGTCATTATGATCTTTTAAAAATCCCCTAACGCATGTAATCTCGCCTGTGTGCGCCGCCGCATTAAGTTTGTCGCAATATTCACTAATCATTACCGTTGAGATGTTGCAAATAGAATTTCACTTTGGTTATTGCGTTCATTGATCTTTCCGAAAAGCAATGGCTTATATTTCATTATAAAACAGATAGCGCTGACACTAAAATCTGATTGGACCGTTTCGGTGTTCGAAGCCACCGAAGAGCAATTTTCAGCGACAAGCAATTTGTCTGTACACACTGAATGTGAAACGGCGGCACGACACAATCACAGCCAATCAGGGGATATCTGATTTTTACATTTATGTGCAGTTGGATTTTAGACAAATGAGATTGAATTATTTAATTTAATTAAACCATGTGATCAGAAAAAGTGTGTAGAGTGTAGCTGGTTCGATTAAAAATTATTTACATGAGAGATTGTTTGCTTTAAGAATTGTTAACTTTTATTATTTAAATAATTCAAATATTGAACATATTTTAAATATATAATATATTCTAAATATTTAATTGTTTATTTTGAGTATTTAAATAATGATTTAAACATTTAATATCATTTAACTCGAGATTGAGATTGTTTGCTTTTTGAATAGTTAACATTTATTATTTAAATAATAATTCAAATATTGAACATTTTAAATATATAATATATTCCAAATATTTGTTATATTTTAAATATGTAATCATTGTTTATTTTGATTATTTAAATAGTAATAATCTAAATATTTAATATAATTGAACTATTCAACTATATATTGATTGTTTTGTTTTAAGGATGGTTATTTTTTATTATTTAAATAATAATTTAAATATTTAATATATTTTAAATATATAATATAATCCAAACATTTAATATAATTAAAATATTTAATCATTGCTTATTTTGATTATTTAAATATTTAATATAATTTAAATATATAATATATTCCAAATATTTATTCAATTTTAAATATTTAATCATTGTTTATTTTGATTTACATAATAATAATTCAAATATTTAATATTTTCTGAATATTTAACTATTTAAAGATATATTGATATTGTTTTGTTTTATCATATTACTGTTGTTGCCCTTTTATAAAACCAGTATGCCACTTAAGATTGTGCATTACAGTGATTTTAGGCAGGTTTTAGGTGCTCTACTTTCAAGTTGTGCCTAAAAATTCCCCTCAGCCATGGCGAAATCACTTTAATTATATTTAATGAAAAAGTCAATTGCTTTTCAGGGAAGTTCATTGATGAGAAATCCATACTAAAGGATGGCAGAATATTGATGCAAAGATGCAAGTTATTTCGTTGTAGCTCTGTACAGTACACACCTATCTCCAAACATCATGGACTCCTGTAGGCCCTGCGTACACGCCTCATGAAACCACTGCTCACAGCGAAAGCACTGCAGCATTTTCAGATACCACCTGATGGGAAAATCAGAGAATAAGAAATGAACTGTCGAATGTTTCTTATCAGATACAAAGCACAAAGACCTAAACAGACCAATTACATTTCAGTACAAACAAAACTGGTGGTGTGATGGAGTGATGCTCAAACTTCTTTCTTTCCATTTGGATGGTGTGTATAGAACAGCAGCAATAGCAAAACCATTAGCGCAGCATTACCAAGATGGCACCAATGCGCAGTAGTAATATGTTTTTAATACTCACTAATACAACATTTGTGTTTTTAGTAATGCTATAATACAAAACGGTTGGGTGATATAAGGGTAGCATCTTTAATATTTTCATGAACTGAATGATAACATCAAATACAGGTCACTATAGCCGATCACAAAGGCATCATAAAATACATAATTTATTTTCTTTTTCAGTGAAATAATGTACTGAAGAGAGGAATCATATCAGTTAGCAAATGTTAATATATACTCATATAACAAATAACTCTCAGTAGGCGCGTTTCCATTACCCTTCAAATTGCGCAAATTGAAATTGCGAATTGAAAATGCGCCTAATGGAAACGCGTCAATTTTGCAAAAACGGCCATATATCGCAAAAAAGTTTTTATGCTCACATGAGGTGGTTTTTCAGGCAATGCGCAAAAGGATTAATTCGCAAAACGGCAATGAAAACGGCTTTTTCGCATTTACAGGTCACATGGCGTATGTAAAAAGTAATATGATCATTCTTCAACGTACTAACCTCCAAGAAACACTTCATAAGTGGCCGCGCTCCAGTATAAGGGGCTTTCCCTACTATTAATACTTAGACAATTTACACTGCACACGTCTGCGGTGCAGTGTGGCTCTGATACGATCACTGAAGCTGATTGCTGCTTCTGTAAAGATACACGCATAAGCCTCCTTTGAATAAATATAGCCAAAATCCCACCAAAATCCATTACCATGACTTATCGCGAGAGGCAAAAAGGTTACGTTTTAGCCGCATAACATTGGTTAATGGAAACGCCGTCATTTCGCAATACTTTTTTATCGACATTCAGAAAATATCGCCAAAGTTTTGCGCAAATCTGTAATGGAAACGCGCCTAGTGTTATTTTATTATTATTTTGATACTATTATTTATTTAATATTTTGAACTGGCTTCTATGTTTGTATTTTCAGTTTTTTGTTTGCTATACAGTATACTTTTGTCTTTTTTTTAAAATCTCTAATCGTTTTTATTTCCTATAGTCTAAATTATCTAATATTTTTAATATTTCTTTTTAGCTTCAATTTATTTTTATTTCAGCTTTAGTTTTAGTAATTGTAGTACTTTAACTTGTTTTATTTCAGTTTGCTGCCAAGATAAGATTTCTAAGCTTTAAATTAGTTTTTCTCTTTAGGTTTTTCATCTTTCGTTTATATTATATTTTTTCACCTTACTTTTAATTATTTTAATAAAATGGTTTTAAGTCATTTTAGTGTTTAGTAGTTTACAGTAAAAACACTGCTCTGGTTAATGTAATTGTAAGTAAAACATAAAATATATAACTTACTGTATGTTTAACTTTATGACATCTATTCAGTGTCACAGCAAAGTCAATTTCTTTAATAATAATCCGATGACTACTGTTCTGAAGCAGTGTACGGACCGTTTATTTTTCAACAATCTCGTGACAGTCCCTGTTCTGTCATTGGTTGCATAACATACAATTTTGTTTTTATCAAAATTAATGCGCTGAGTGAGCAGACAGCAAGCGAGCACACGAGGCAGAGATGTGCGAGTGCATTTGTCACGCTCTCCTCACTGCTTTTACTTCACTGAAACACACAAACAAACCACTTCACTACAATTAATCAAACGTCCCAATGCTATCAAACAATGTGACAGATGTTATGCCCAGTACATTACAGTTTTGCTTTGCTGTGCGTATGCTACACTGAATCAGTTTTTAGTACAGAGGCCAAATGCCTAGACCTCTAGCAGGAAAAGAAGTCAAGAAAGGAAGAACGCAAAAAGAAAGTAAAGTGAAGAGACTAGACAGACTCACTCTCCGGGTCCTCCGCAGTAGCAGTAGCACTGCTGATGGTTCGTACGATGCAAAGAGTCCCACTCCAGCTCCTCTGGATTATAGGGTAGCACCTGCTTCATGTTCAGCAGCGCTTTGGAGATTGGCCCCTTTTTCAGAGCTCCCCCTTTCTGCCACATAAAGACACACACGTCAGCAACACGGCCTCCCTGATCTCCATTCATTTATATGGAAAGTGTATATGAAGGACTTACTCTCACAGCTAAAGCAAAAATGCACTTCCTGCAGAACCATGGAGGAATGTCAGCTGAGCTCTCCACTGGGGGCAAGTGGCAGAGCTGGTGATAGCCTGAAGATGCAAGGCAAACATGTAGAAGGATGGAGGACAAATATTAGCACAAAAAAAGCAGATCGACTCAATCAGATGTGTAAATATGAACAGCAGAGCTGAAGTCGACACTAATCCTTGAGACTTCAGAGAGCCACTTCTGCGTCCCCAGCGAGTCATTACTGTAGTGCAGTCTTACCAAACCCCCTTAAAGTCATCAAAGACACCCAGAATAGTTCTCTATTTGCTTTGTAGACGCTATGGCGTTTATAATGCAAATTGTACCACATTTTCCACTCCAGTCTTTTAAAATACATTATCACAAGTACATGTTAATCAGATTTATCCACAGGCAGAAGAGTTCCCCAGCCATTGCATCATGCAAGAAGTCATAGCAACTTTTATATTACTATATTTCCACATTTTCTGAAGAAATTGCGAGTGCTACAGAGCTGTAACCACCACAGACATTGAATAATCAGATCTCCCCCACAATATTTGATCATCTTGATGCTGCTTTGCACCACTCTGTTTGTTGTTAGATGACAATAACAGCATTCATCACGGTCAAAAAGACTAAAATCGAGTCAATCAAATCAAAAATGGCAGGCTTTACTGTTCACAAAAGCTATGCGCAAAATGTCAGCACAGTGCTTCAGATGAAAGAGTGCAAAGTAAGAAGCAATTAGCTGAATATGAAATACTTTTCTGTTGTAAACCTTTTTATGATAGAAATGTTAAATGACCGACAGCAATACTAATTGATGCAAACCAAGGATGGTAAGATTTGCTGATTCATATCAGTGCAACGGCATAAAAGTTAACGATCCGATGCATCGATTTAAAAAAGTGTGCATCAGATACAAGTTGGCATTTGTATCGTGATGCATCATTTCTAACATATCTGCATCAGTAAAAACCAATTTATTTATATATAATTATTAGTAGATGTGATATATTTATATGTAGATTGATTTCTCCTCAACAGCTGTTTCTCAAGCTGTTCTCTCATCACCACTGCCGCTATGTGAATATGATGCATCACAACACTACAGAGACCAGGGCGTTAGAAGTCAGAAGGCACTGAATTTAATTTATGATTTGCTGTCTGTCTGAACAAAAGAAATAAAAGCGAACTATCTGTACCATATTGAATTGCAAAGCATCATCTTTTTTTTCCCAATGCATCGCACTGCATTGAATCGCATTGTGTTGAACTTGAATCGAAATCAGATCGCACTGCATCATAATAATAGGGGTGAATCGTATAATATCGTATCGTATCGCATTGCATCGCACCTGCTTCATATGTATCTTTAACGTATCGTATCATTGGCTACGCATTGAGATGCTTATCGCATCTGCCTCACTTATCCCTAATGCAAACTACTCTTTTATGTCAAATTTTGTCATTTTAAATTAAAAATATAGCATCATTTTAGTTATTCATGTAGTGTAATTTGTCATTTAATGTGATGAAACAAGCAACTTTCACAGATTTCAGCATATTAGGCACAAGGTTAAAGTGACAACTCACAGCTGACAAACATGGCGTTTTAATAAAACGTGGCTGTCAATGTAGTATAAATGCAATTTTTTGTAAATCCGTGCTACATGACTAGAGAAAACAGAGAAAAGAGGGCTGTGGCAAAAAGTTAGGAAAACTTCAGCCCCCTTAATGCACTGGGCTCAATCAGACTATTTGCAAGAGGGGATACAACAATGTGCAACTAAATGATATGGTGGCCTTTTGCCAACAAATAAATGTGGACATCTTGGTGAAGGTAATATGGAAAAAAATATTGGGTAATTCCGTGTCAAATCAACCGAATTTCAGAAACTTCCCTGGCTCAAATTTTTGATTTTGCTAATATTTTTTCTGAAGAAAGATATACATGTTTAGTGATGAAAGTCAAAATATTGTCATGGAATGTCAATAAATGCCATGGATGTCATGAAATGTCATGGATGAATATTTACTGAGTGGTCCGCTTTTTTGTAGAGGGGGGTCAAAATGTAAATTTTCATCTGAGATTCAGAGCCAAATTACAGGGGGTTATAAATGACTTCAGAAAGATGACAGCATCATAATGTTACTTTTACACAGAGATTAGTAGGCCTGTTAGTAAAATCTGTTCACTTTAGCAATCTTTGTTGCATTATGTGCCAATGGTGACCGTTCAAAAATGGGGAAAAAGCATTTTTAAAGTTTTTTCTCCAAAGTTTACAGGTCTGTAACTCAAGAAGTATTAAAGATATCTTAATGTCCTTTTTGATTTGGGGTCTTAACAAACTTTTCTTTTGGCATCTTAATTTTTAAGGCCCTATATGGTTTGGTTCCAGAGATACCATGACATTTAATATTTTGGATTTCATCACTATACATGTTTATTTTTCTTCAGAAAAAATATTAGCAAAATCTAAAATTTGAGCCGGGGACCTCTGGTTGAGCTGACACGGAATAACCCTAATACACATTGTTCATTTATTTATACTACCAACATTGTAACAATACAACGCTGGTTGAAAATCCATGAACTTACTCTATATGAATGAATGTGTGCTTCTTATGAATTATTTTAATGAATGTGGTTATCTGGCTTTCCTTAAAGCCTTTCAGAAAATATATATATATTTTTTTTTTTTTTGCAAATAGTTCAAATGCATTACTTTACAATAAAATGAAAAAATTAAAATGTATTAGGTCTTCCCAAAGACATGGATATGGGTTTGGTCACCACTACAATTTAGGCTGCCAGGATGTGGCTAATTAGTTGATAGGATGTTTTGGGTGTATCCTAGGTGGTTGAAACCAACAGAATAACCATCAGCCACCCCACCCAAACCCACATAAAATAGAAAAAATTATTATTATTGGTCCAGATGTACTGTAATACATTCATTTACCACTGCAAATAACAAATAAATTATTACTTTTATTAATAATAAAAATGTATTGGACAAATTGGACATTTTATTGGACACATTTGTATCTACCTCGAAGTGCTAGATCGGTCACTAATATTTCGTTTTCCTGGAGGAGACAAAATCTAAATTTAAATTTGTTTGTCTGCTAACAGTCAGCTGTACATTAGCATACAAATAATCTAAAAGTTCAAATCCTTAACCCCAAGTAGGAGTAATAGTATGAGTGATGCAAGCATCACTAATAACTGATAAATAATTACTGAGTCAATAGTTCCTCAAAATGAATCACTACTTCCTCCAAGCAAAAACAAGCTGTTTTACTGTGATATATCCAGGTTTGGTGTGTTACATGATGCGCTAAGATACAGGCAGCGCCCATGTCTGCCTCAGACTCACCTATTCCACACTTCCCGCAGATAAGAATTTCATTACCAGGAACCAGAGACATGTCAGAACACACTGAGCATTTGGGTTCTTCCCCAGGGACCCCAGCTGTGCAAGAGAGCGAGAGAATAAAGCTTCAGTTACCTCGTCACAAAGCAGTAATACCACACTGTCACACACACACATCTCATAGGACACACTGACATATCAAACAAAATTTCTAGTTTGCTGATGAATTATTGCTGCTACTTTTGAAATTAAAAATCCCACTCATATTCCACTCAACCTCTTACCATGCTGTATGTCTTTCCAAAGCACCCAGAACTTAGAGTTGTCTTCAAACGTCACAAAGCAACTCTGTTTTGAGGTGCTCACCTATAGGGAAATGGAATAAGGAATGTATGTATTGTGAAACGCAAACATAAAATTGTAAATAACATCAATATATATTTGCCAAATAAATTATTCATGATTATAGAGCATGCAATCAGATCATGAACATCTCTTGTATGTTTACCCCTGGGACCTAGCAATTCATTTTTGTCCTCTGTAGGGAACATTGATTTTTGGCAATTTCAAATGGCACAGTTTTATATATCTGGTATATCTTAAAGTGGACATCCTGGGCTTTCAAAGCACAGTGTGATTTTCTTTTGCAAGAAAGACATCTCCCTTTTTTTAAATGTCCTTTGTAAGGTACATCATGTCTTTTCACTTTGAATAGGGTATGTGCCAAATCTGATTGATCTATGTTCAATAAATACATTTTAAAAAATCAAATGTTCTTAAGTAAATAGTTCACCCAAAAATGAAAATTCGCTGAAAATGTACTCACCCTGAGGCCACCCAAGATGTAGAAAAGTTTGATTTCTCATTAGAACAGATTTGGAGAAATTTAGCTTTATAACACTTGCTCATCCACTAGAGTGAATGGGTACCGTGAGAATGAGAGTCCAAACAGCTGATAAAAAAAAAATCACAATAATCTACAAGTAATCCACACGACTCCAGTCCAATGGTAATGTATTGTGAAGAGGAAAGCTGCGTGTTTGCAAAAAACAAATCCATCATTAAGGCGTTTTACATTTCTGGCCAAAATCTATAATAACATGTCCTCCAGTGAAAAAGACCATTCCCTGTTGTCCTCTCACATCAAAATCAACCAAAGTATTTGTTTAGAACGGTTTTCCCTTGTAAACAGTGCTTGATCTGTGCATATTTCTCTCCTGATTCAGACGACACCAGTTTTACTGGAGGAAGCAATATTATGGATGGAGGAATTGTATTTTAGCCGGAAGCAACAGTTTGAAGTTAAAATGTCTTAATGATGGATTTGCTTATTACAGACACCTGTTATTTGATGGACTGGAGTCATGTGGATTTCTAACTGGATTATTGTGATGTTTTTATCAGCGGCTTGGACTCTCATTCTGACGGCACCCATTCACTGCAGAGGATTCATTGGTGAGCAAGTGATATATAATGCTAAAAGTGAAATAAATTTCTCTAAATCTGTTCGGATGAAGAAACAAACTCATCTCTGTCTCGGATGGCCTGAGGGTGAGTACATTTTCAGCAAATTTAAATTTTTGGGTAAACTATACCTTTAATGCTCCAAGCACTATAACAACTTAATTCCAATGCTTCATGTTGCCATGTCCCAGGAGTAGGGTTGGGTATCGTTTGAATTTTATCGATTCCGTTCGTTTGCACTTGTTTCTAAGTCTTGCCGATTTAAAAATTCAAGCGTTTTAAAACATTCACGTGCAGTCGGAGCTAGCGCGCTGGTTTCTGCGAGCACTCATTCAAAGCGCGCACAGGGAGCCATGTTTCAGACAATGCGCGTACACAGAATTGATTCCTCTTTTGCGTATCCTTGCTTCTGAATGAACACATACACACAATATTATCTCAAAATAATTGTCCCTGCAAGTATTCTCGTAAAACACAGTCGGTTATGTCTTAAGTGAACTTAAACAGTGGAGAAAGAAATCTCTTGTGCATCATTATATTGGATTCGTGCATTCGGTCTTAAAGGGGCAGCAGCCTATAAATACCTGCTGTTCCATTAGTGCCACCTGCTGTCAGAGAGTGACATTTGCGTCTCATTCACAAAGCTAAAAACGGACCATTCTGCTTCAAATTTTGAAATGATACAATCCAAATAACATGTATTTAACATCTTTTTTGTATATTAATTCAAATGCACTGGTTGTCTCTGATTTTAAATAGAGCACAGGCACAGCCTTTGTCTATATGAAGAGATTTCTTTTAGTTGTATAATTTTTTTTTTGATTTGGGATTTGTTTTAAAATTTCAAGTTAGTTTTATTATTTAACATTTCAATTTCACAAAGAAATATGCAGCATTTTGTCTGAGAAATAATAAAAGGGCACCTTTTCATTTATAATTTGTCTTAAATCTCATTTTGTAAAAAAATAAATATATAAATAAATTGTATCGTGAATTTTATCACATGGTAAGTTTAGTGAATCGTTACATCCCTATATGCTACTAGTTTTTGCTGATCATGCTGATTTGTCCACAGTAAAGTTCAGCGGATGTCTTTTTTTATTCGGGCTACTTAAATTAATTTTGGGCTACCAAAACCTGAAGAATGCCTGCCCGAAGGGCTACCAGGGATTTGGAAATTTTGCGAGCCCTGCAGTTTCGATTCCAATGTGATTAAATAATGATATCAAACATTTATCCTGTGTCTCTTTTTTGCAAACAATTTATTGGAGCTGAATACCATGAACACAAATCAACATGCTACATAAAAACTGGACTCTTTAAGAGCTGTTTGTGTGCAAAATAGAACTGCATGATTCTGACAAATTGAGGGTTTTTTCCCCCCAATGGAAGTTGTGGTTCTCTCCTGATTCTGAAGAAAAAACATTAGACAACTAAACAAAATCACATGTAATTTATGAATGAATGATTAAATGACTTACTCAAGATGTACTTGTTTCATTACTGGATGAATCCGCGTTCTTGAATGAATCTCTTGTGATTCAAAGACAAATACATTTTAACAGCCCCTTTTCGCCACCTACTGGCGTAACAATGAAATCAATAAATCTTCCTTTGAAGTGTCAAAATACTTTCAAAAGGTGATTTACTCTATTTTAATCGCTACCATACACATCATACACATAGTTTATATCTGAACTATAAACTTTTATCCCAGTACTTCTGTGATTTGAATGTTTGTAACAGGAATAATGATACTGTGTGGCTGAAAAGACTGTGAAGCTGTTTCATTCATGACAGACAGCTGCTCTCTTTAGGTCAATGGCAGCGCGAACGCAGATTTAAATGTTCAAATCACACTGGTGTGATCGTACGCATGTTTAGCAATCACAGATATTATACTTAGCTTTTCTGGCTTCTGATCGCAAATGTAGCCAAACTTTGGAGCGCTTAGATTAGCGAGCAAGATCCTGGCAGATCGCTAGGTCCGGTCCTCACAGATGAAGAAAAAAAAAATTCATAGGAATCGATAGGCGGAATCAAAAATTTAATTTGACAACAAGTATCCGATTCCTGACCTTAAGTATCCGATTCTGGAATCGGAATCGATTTTCGATTCCCAACCCTACCCAGGAGGATATACAGTGCGTGTAGTAAAACAGAGATGTTCTGTGCATTCAGTTCAAGTGTATATAAACCTCTATAGTATCAGTAACTCACTCTCTGTATCTTGCCCAGGTAGTAAAGGCCGTCAGACCAGCGGCACAGCACGTACTGGCCCACAGTCAAGTTGGTCTCCTGGTCGCTGTAGGTTTTCTCTCTCTTGGGAAGCAAGTGCTTGGCTTCTAGAGGTTCCGACCCAACTGTCAGATATCCGTCCCGACAGGCCGATTCCAACATGCTGATAATAGACACAACTACACTTCCTGAAAGCAAAGTAGGAACAAACAAATCATACATAATATGCAGATTACACCAAATTTAAGTACGTGAAATTTCCCAGTGGAATTAATTGCATTATTTCATACAAAAAGACTCTTTTGGAATTTGTAGGTGTTTTTCTATGTAAAAATGGATTAAATATGAAAACCTTAGGGACCACATATCTCTATATAAAAACTCCCGTAGAAACCAAGTAAAGATTGACATAATAAAGGGTTTGCCCACTGGTCAGTACAGTTGCATATATAAATAAGCACTCAGGCAAAAAAAAAAAAGGCTTCCAGTTGTTTTAAAATCTAAATTAACCCAAAACATATTTCCAGATCGAAAAAGGTTTTAAGGATTTATATGTGCAATTAATCAATAAGCATAAATTCAGAGCACCATCAATCTAAAGGCATGGCTCATTTAACATAATTAGGGCTTTAAAAATATGACAGTCTTCAAGTTCTTAGGGAAAATCATTGGAATCAACACAGGGGATTTTTGCAGTTTTGTCCACTTATTAATTGGTGTTTCCCAAGCCTTTTTGTCTTACACAGCCTCTTCAATAATACTCAAGTACCCACCAGTAATCTGTCCTTTTAACTCTCATTATAATTACACCATTTAGCTAAATAATTAATGTTGTAACTGTATATTATTACTTATAATAAGGTTTTTTATTTATTTTTCTTATTTACTTGACTACAGCCAAAGACTATAGGAATACACAGACGGTTCACTCTGCAACACGCAATATGGCGGAATAGTCCCACCTTCTAAATGAAAGAGCCAATCACTGATTGGTAAAGTCAATGTGTCACTGCAGCGGCCGTTAGAAGCTCGGGTTCCCATAGAAACCTGAGGGTAGACCAGCCATTGCGCATGTGCAGGCCCTGTCCCAAATGGAACACTTCATGTGCACTTGCGGTCTTACGGACTTACAATGGCTGCCGCGTCCACGAGACCGTAGGGTGTCCCATTTGTCATTTTAGCATTCAGAAGGGTGCTCGCGAGCGGCCCCTTTGTGCCCGTTATGCGCCCTCGATCCACACTTCTGCCGAGCCCGCACCGGGGCGAGCTCCGCAGCAGACTTCTACCCGACAGTCAAAGCGGCATTACATCACGAAAGTGCAGACTCAGAGGAAGGCCGCGAGCAGTGTTGCCAAACGTACGATAATTATCGTATTTGTACGATACTTTTGACCTCTGTACGATGTACGATCAATAATGAAAAAAATCCCATAATGTACGATAATTTCATAATTTTATGACAATTCAAATGATGGTAGTTGTAGTCATAGGGCTTCTATATTCATACATGAAATCGGCTCATTACAGACACTCTAAATGAGCTCGTGCACACCTCAGAGTGTGTTAAGAATGCAGGAGGGTGCCCTGCTTTAAAGCCAACGAGCACTGTTGCGGTCCATGACGGCAAGAACCTCCTCAACATCTGGCAACACGCAGGCTTCCGATGACAGCGGCTCAGATGTGGAGTTAACAGCTAAAGTCTGTCTACACTGGACGCGACAAAGCGAGTGTTAAAAATCATTTTAATACGTCATAAATAGAACGAGGCATCAGTTTACTGTCGGGGATGTGTCGTGTCGTGTCGCATCCAGTGCAAACAGTCACTGATTATGTTTTCTATAGTATTTTGTCGCACTGCTCGCGTCCAATGTAAACACGGTACGCCTAGTTATCTATTGTGGTAATTTGCAGGTTGTGTCAAAAAGTTGTTGGTTTAGATAAATAGCTGTATTCTGTACGTTTGAATCGTGTACGATAATTTTCTTCTAAATATGATAATTTTGAGCTTCTGGTACGATACTTGGACATTTCCAATCTGGCAACACTGACCGCGAGGGTTATGCCGAGTTCACACTGCACGATTTTCAAAGACGTCGCATCACTGTTGGTTTCACACTGAACGACTATCTGGGGTAGCATTCAGTTGTTGCGGTGTTCACACTGCACGATGGAACGACGACAGGAGGTTACACACTGCATAACTTTACAATAGAACGAATCGCCGACAGCTCTGTCTGGTGCAGGGTTGCCAGGTTTTTACTACAAAACCCGCCCAATTACTACTCAAAACTAGCCTGAAAATAGCCCCATTGCTTTTGAGGGGGTCCCCCAGTAAAAATAGCGTTTGGGGGTAAAATAAAAATTTTTTTTGGCGGGGTTCTCCTGGTACCATTCACATTCCAGGGCCTAAATATCACTTATTGGGGTTGCTTCAACCTGCTGACATAAAAAACAACCGGTGGCAATCACGGATTTGGCAACACTGGTCCACAAAACTACGTTTCATATAACTCCTCCCCGAACTTCCCGCTGCCCTATATCTTGGTCTCTCATTGGCTGTAGGTCATCGCTGATGTGTTTTTCAGTCAGAACTCATTTCGCACAGCGTGATTGTGGATCGCCGACAGCTCCAGATATTTAGCATGACAAATATTTCACGGGCGTCTGCGATTCCCTCAGATCGCGTCTTTGATAATTCACACTGCGTGATTGTCACTCGCGTGAACGAGCACCAATTTGCCTCCGATTTCGGGCATTTGTCGGCGATTTCGCAAAACCTATCGGCGAGTGAAAAATCGGGCTAAAATCATGCAGTGTGAACTTGGCATTAAGGGTGCCATTTGGGACAGGGCCACAGTCTTATGCGCGTTATGACTGTGTAACAGGTAGAGAAAGTATTATGTTCATATATGTAAACATTTTTCAAATGTGTACCTGATATGCCTGTCTGTGTGTGTGTGTGTGTGTGCACCTTCCCCTTTAAATTTCTAGCAGTGTTAATCTTAATTTCCTGTCTTTGTAACACCTCTTCCCTTTCGGCACTGTCTCTGCATGGGAGAGGTGGGCTTTTAATGAGCTCTGATTAATCTAATTTCATTTTTGCTTAAAATCACTTTTATACTCCGTTTAAATCATATTTGCGTTGTTATGGGAAGAGCGCATCCACAACAGGATCACACATTCTGACTATAGCACGCAATAACTGCGTCATTTTGTACATATATAAGTTGTAATATTATGTTTATGTTGTATTAATATTAATCTCAGGATGCATTTCCTTGAGTTAAATAAGCTGCCTGCAAAACGCTTCAGTTTACCGTGTTCATTCAGCTCTTCAGCTTCAGCACGCGCAGCTCAACGGCTGCTATTTAAAACAGTGGTATTAATTTGTTACTTTTTCAAAATCATTGATATATTATTAATAACAACAACCACTTGTATTTTTCTCTTATTATTTTCATCAACAATATGGTTTAGTCATTAAAATCATTTAATTATTGTCCGTGCAGAGGCTATTCTGTTTTATTGATCTGTGGCGCATTCATTTTGATTCTTTACACGTGTAATGATGTCCAGTGACTTGTTTGCATTATTTATGCATTATTTTATTTATTTGTAAGACTTTTTTATGACTAAATTTGGTAATGGGAGAGTAAAAATATTTTTAAAACGTACACCGTTCAAACTAGGCTGCTTATGTTGAAGTGTTTGGGATGTGGCTTTTAATGATGAGACCTTTTTTGTAATCAGGCTCTCAAAAAGTATATACCAATTTGGATATAGATTTATCGGCCAACATATCGGTTATCAAAAATAAAGAATAATTGGTTATCGGTATCGGCCAAAATTTTCATATCGGTGCATCCCTAATTTAATTGCAAGTTCAGCAACTTGGTCTTGTTTGAGCTGCCCGGAGGCATTGCAAATATGGCCGTCGAGTGATCAGACTTTCCTTGAAAGGGACTTTGCTACAGCATGAGCCAATAGCATTCGATTAACGGCTGTGAAGACGCAATATGATTGGCTGGACCTAATGTAAGAACACACTCCCTTTAATGAACGATTCATTGTTTCGAGTCTGCATGAGACTCAAAGCAGTATTGAAGGAAACATCTCAAAATAAGAAAGATGTTTCTACAAACATGTTAGACTACAACACAATTGAGGTAGCTTTTAAGAAAAAATATTACGGCTTCCTTCTGGAGTGTCATTTTGTCGACATGAATTTAGAAATAAAGGACAATAAATGAATCCATGTCGGTTGAGTGATTCAATGACTCGTAACTTGTCGCCACCTAATGGCGTAGCGAGTAATCTCAGTGAGTCACTGAACAAATCTTTTAGGTGAACAGCTTCAAAAGATTCAAATCCCTGGGTTGAATTTAAAGGGGTCATATGATGCTATTTTAAAGATCATTATTTGTTGTATTTGGTGTAACAGAATATGTTGACATGCTTTAATGATCAAAAAACTGATTATTTTTCAAATACTGTACATTATTGTAGGTCCTCTATGCCCCGCCTCTCTCAAACACGTCATTTTCAACAAAGCCCCCTCCTGTGACAAGCGCAGTCTGCTCTGAATGGCCAGCTGACCCAGTGTATTGTGATTGGCCGAACACCACAAGCAATCTGAATCGCCAGATTGTCATAGCAAAGTCGGAATTGACCCTTTTTTTTTTTTTTTGGAAATAGCCTTTGTGCACAGCCAGCCTTGTACTCTTCTAGGTTCACAAAACTGTTGACCATAAAATGCGTTGCACAAATTCAAACATCTGGGTTGTGCTGTTCTGTTGTAAATCAATCTTAACCAATGATTCCTAATTGCATCTACTTCTGGAAGGCCAAATAAAGTGTTTTTCCTTTCGCACTGAAACACACACCGTCTCCCTGACATGGCTGCATCAACACTACTGCGGTTCCTGAAACCATGCCTTCTTTCTTTGCGTGCACATTTGGGCGGCATTATGCTAATATTTCCACATAGTGACGTAGATATGTGGGGGCGTGTTAGAACGAGCCGTTTTAGGTAGGTGTGACTGACTCTTAACTTTTATAAAGAATATCTCTTTGGATTTGAGACTTTAGTCTTTGCAACTTTACAGATCTTCTTTATGCACCAAGAGCTTGTAACACTCCAAAGAGAAAGGAAAACTTGAAATCGCATCATATGACCCCTTTAACATACAAATATTATCAATAACCGAGTAAAAAAAAAACTAGCTAGTATCAAAGTAGAAGTGTCTAACTGCTTTACACATCACACAGTTTAGTTTTGAGGTAAAACTGGTTTTGAGAAATCATGAGATTATTATTTGTTAAATTCATTGGCTTAAATGTTTTGTAGTTTCAACAAAGTTGATCCTATCCACAAAGCCACTGCTGGGAATCACTCAAAGTGATTCAGGTAAGCAAGTATGAAGGTTACTGTGTGTGCATAACGGTTTTGACAACCCAGCAGGAATTATGTAGAGCTGCAAAAAGATTCGTCCAACCACAACAGTGCGCAAGGGGAATAATTGCCTGACTCAATCTGAACCCTGATGAGTTAAAACGGGAGCAGAGAAACATTGCTGGTTGACTCATGGTCAGGATGTGAACTTCAGACTTACTGATCTCGGCCAGTTTTCTTCTGCTGCATGCACCAGACCCCTTTAACAAATATTCAAATGAATCGAATCACACGATTTTCAACACTAACGCTCCACTTAACTATAAGAATTAACATGCGTGCATTATCTCCAAAAGAAAATAAGACAGAAAACTATTGCATCGACTGTAAAAGTATGCACGCCTGCATGAAAAGTCACTTAACCGCCATGTCCACTTCTCAATTCAGTTGCTTATATAAATAAATCATAGCCGCTATGAATCATTGCACGGACTCCCTCCCCATTTGAAGACATGCAACATCATGAGGGCATGCTGGAAAACTTGCGCACTACCAAAACTTCTCTCAGGGACTCCGACAAGCTGTCACACTCATAACACATGCTCAGAACACACTATTACTCTTTCATATGCATGATTAAGTTCGCCAGATCAGTGCAGTTGTGAGTGTTACGCACTACAATACAGCAGATTTTGAATCGGGTCACATTCAAACACATCTTGCGCTGAGATTACCGCTTTGATTTCTCTCCAATCCCGCGGGTAACACGCGCCAAAAGTGCAGCTATTCCTCCTCTGGCAGCCCCAAATCCCATTCGCGATGTGCACGAGAGTCTCTGGTGTTTTTACAGCTCAAGCGCCGCAGAAATGCAGTCAGTGAACGTCGCCATTTTTTCACCTTTTCCCGCGAATCATTTACGTTTTGCTTATGTAATTAACATAACCCGATAATCATCATCATCTGCGTACAGGAAGTACAGCAACAGCGCTCTCGAGGAGGGGCTACAGAAGCACTGCTCCAATGACAACAAGACATTAAATGCTCTGATAGTAGCCTACAGCGTGACACTGACATTATACACGAGATTTATCCATATAGATACAGGTATATAAATTATACAGTCAAGTTATTAGACTTTCATATAGCTAATCGATTATACCTATTATCAGTGTTGGGGAAAGTTACTTTTAAAAGTAATGCATTACTCCATGAAAAAGTAACTAATCACGTTACTTAGTTACTTTTTGTGAAAAGTAATGTGTTACGTTACTTCTGCGTTACTTTTTAAAATCTGGACAGGGCTTGCTTGTTTGTTTTTAAAATAAAAAGTTATATTTTTAGCAAATATAAAAGCCTTTTCACAGCAAAAGTGAAATTAATCTGTCTCAGGCTGAAGGGAAAGTACATTTACGTCCGTACAGTAGAATGCAGAAGACATTTCAACACACTTCAGCAATAAAAAAAGACACACAAATGTTTGTCTAGAGTCATTTGTGCTTATTAGTACGCTTGAACTGGATCATCGAAGGTCAGAAGCAAAGACATTGGTTAATAGAATGGGATTAAATACATAAAGCATATTTGTGTTGTTTACATTTAATTATTGCAGGTTTGCGTCATATTCTGAGTTGCATTATTTTTATTAATTTTGAGGAATACTGAATCTGTGTTTTTGTGTGTGAGTGAGATGAATTAATGCATATTCATATATTTATTTTAGAACTACAGTAACATCTGATTTCTCTCAACATGGGGACAGGAGAGCTGTCAATCAATAAATTGGAAAAACAAGTAACTTGCGTTACTTATTTGAAAAAGTAACTCAGATATTCTCTTGTAAATGAAAAAGTAATGCGTTACTTTACTAGTTACTTGAAAAAAGTAATCTGATTACGTAACTTGCGTTACTTGTAATGCGTTACCCCCAACATTGCCTATTATAGCCTATGTACTGTAGAACTCTTAAGTAGATAGATAGATAGATAGATAGATAGATAGATAGATAGATAGATAGATAGATAGATAGATAGATAGATAGATAGATAGATAGATAGATAGATAGATAGATACATTACTGATACTTTGAGCATGATATAATGTTTGTTAATGTTATGAAAGTTATAAAAAGTGTAATAGTTTTGGTGAGTGAATGTGAGAGATGTGACGGAGCGAGTGAGCTGTCAGCATATATGTTTTCAGCTTCAGTGAAGGTTTGCTGGAAGTGCAACTGTCATAATGCAGTTACATTTTTAACACATAACAGGTCATACTTGCTGGCATAACAGTAATATTCTTAGATTTCTGTGAAATTTGGACATTGCGATTCAGGCAGACATCACAAGGTCATGGCAAGCTGACTAAATGAAAATGTTTATGTCGCAGAACAAAACTACCCATACACTTGGGGCTATGAATACCACATGACTAATTGTATTTGGTTATTTGATGCAGTGTTGATTTGTACATATTGTACAAAGTGACCCTTTCAACTGTGAGAAACCACCTGTTCTTTTCTTATCTCTCATTCTGCTTGAAGAGTTTTTGATTTTGTGAACATTTGATTGTGTTTGAGACAGGAGGGGATAAAATAACTAAAAATAAAAGTTAAAAAAAGTCAGGAGGGGAAAGTAGCTGGAGTTTTTCTCTAAAAACTGCTAGCTGAACTGGGTTGATTTTTTTTTTTGGCACACATTCCTGTAAGTGTTAACAATAAGGTAACTTGTTGTAGAATGCAAGGGAGAAAAAATATTGCCACAGCTACAAATGTTATACTTTTTATGAATACATTAAGCTGATTTTGCACAGCAGCCACTACATGCATGTGTTCGTTCAGCAAAATTTCCAAATAGGAAATAACATTTCATATGCAAAAAGTGTGATTAGCATCGGATGTTCTGTGAACAAATTATGCATCTTTATAGTGAAAATACATATTTAAAGGGGTCATATGATGCTGCTAAAAAGAACATTATTTTGTGTATTTGGTGTAATGAAATTTTTAAGATAAAAAAATATATATTATTTTCCACATACTGTACATTATTGTTTCTCCTCTATGCCCCACCTTTCTGAAACATGTCGATTTTTACAAAGCTCATTGGTCTGAAAAGCGAGGTGTGCTCTGATTGGCCAGCTATCCAGTGCATTGTGATTGGCCGAATACCTCAAGCGTGTGACGGAAATGTTACGCCCCTTACCATACTGTGATGCCCTGTCCCGGCCGGAGCGATGAGACAAAAACATGAAAACCCATTATAAACGAGGCATTTGTTGCATCCAGTGGGGACATAATTACTGATTATAATGACTTATACTGTCTTTTTACGTGTTGCATCGCGCCGTGTAAACATAAAACTCTGTCTGCATTTGTGATCAGAGACAAACAACAAGCGCTACTCTACACTGCTCAAAAAACTTGCATTTGAATCGTCAGTGGCAAATTCTATAAATATAAAAAACGTACCGGCCTTGAGTGAGCGGAGGCCGGAGGCCTAGAGTTGAGTGAGCAGAGGCGGCGGGCTTGAGAATGGCGCGGCCGGCGGATTCAATGAAGGAGCGTCCGGCGGGCTTGCGGCAACACCACTGATAAGCTATCACTAAATATTGTAGAAACTTAATTTGCTGTAAAGTTGCTTTGCAATGATTTGTATCGTGAAAAGCGCTGTACAAATAAACTTGAATTGAATTAAACTTGAATTGAATAAAGAATATCTCTTTGGATTTGAAACTTTAGTCTTTGCAACTTTAAAGATCTTCTTTATGCACCAAGAGCTTGTAACACTCCAAAGAGAAAGGAAAAATTTAGATCGCATCATATGACCCCTTTAAAAAATGCAAAATAAAAATTGATGAGCCCACTTGACCTTTTCATGTGCTAATCTGATACTATATTTGATAAGGATCTATGCACAATGCACAAAATAAATAAAATTACAGTAATCAGAAATAATGTATATAAAAAACATCCATCAAGACATTTTCACTTTAAACTGTTGCTTCTGGCCAAAATAATGGCCAGAAATAATAATCCATAATAACACTTCCTGCAGTGATAAAGTAAATTCCTTGCTGTCCTCTCACATCAAAATCCACTAACATATTTGTTTAAAACTGTTTTGGACTGTAAACGGTGCTTGATCTGTCCATATTTCTTTTAACTTTGTCACTGGACTGTCCACGGTGAAAGCCGATCCGGCGATCGACAGCGCGAAGTTTATGTATTTCCTCAGTGACCAGCACGGGTCAGCTCCAGTCATGACGAAGCGGATATCGTTCTCTTTTGGAAGACCAAACAAAGTAGTTTCGCTTTCACAACAAAACACACAGCGCCTTCACGACATGGCATTCCTGCAGTGATAAAGTAAATTCCTTGCTGTCCTCTCACATCAAAATCCACTAACATATTTGTTTAAAACTGTTTTGGACTGTAAACGGTGCTTGATCTGTCCATATTTCTTTTAACTTTGTCACTGGAGAAAGCAATAGATAGAGGTCTTTATATTTTAGTCAAAAGCAATAGTTTAAAGTTTTGATGGATTTGATTCTAATAAACACGCAGCTTTTTGCTTCACAAGGCATTAATTGATGACCTGGAGTGGTTTGGGTTACTTGTGGATTATTGTGATGTTTTTATCAGATGTTTGGGCTCTCATTCTGACGGCACCCATTCACTGCAGAGGATCCATTGGTGAGCAAGTGATGGAATGCTACATTTTTTAAAAATCTGTTCCCATGAAAAATCAAACTCATCTACATCTTGGATGGCCTGAGGGCGAGTGAATATTTGGGTGAACCATTTCTTTAAATTTAAATCATAAATGCAAATAATATTGATTGTTCTAAATTTTAAAGAGACATTTATCTGCAATGTTGAGACATGTACTAGTAAGCAGATAAACTATGCTACGAAGAAACAAAAAACAAGGTAGTAAACACATTTTATTTATTATTACATATAATTACATGTCAGAATGATGTTCAAAATCCAGAAGAGTTCATTCCATAATAAATAAAACAGCAATACATGCAAAATAACACAAGAAAGAATCAATGTTTAAAACATTAAGAGCCAGGTGTCAATCTAAAAATATTCTTTTATTCATGTACCCAAAGAACCAAAATGCAACCGAGACAAAACTCTTCAACTTTTCAGTTCATAAATATTTCTGGGTTTGTTTCTCTGCTCTCCATATTCATTTTGTCCGGATCCAGAATTTTTATGCTCCCTTAAGAATCCAGTCCTCTTTAACAGCCAGGCCTTCATGCTTCAGGAGGAGATGTCCACCACGCACTTGATATAGATGGTGTCATCCTTGCAATAGGCATGCTTAGACGACTTCAATTTCCCCAGATGGAAGAACAGGGGGCACCCGCTGGCCACATTCATCTCTGAGACGGGGCGGTGGAAAGATGCAGAGGAGAGGTCGGGACGGAAAGCGTCGATGACGTGCTCCCTCTGGTTCTGATCTATGAGAAAGAACGTGACCTGCCAGGCACGTGCAGGAGATGTCAGCGGAAGGTCACGGAAAATGCTGATGGCACATGACTGAGGAACCAAAGCTGGTTCGTTACAACAGAAGCCACTATTAAAGGGGTCATATCATACATTTATTATTTAATTCTTTGTCCTGAGGTGCACTTTTTGCACCATAAATAGCTGTAATTTAGTTTTTAAAGACCATTTTACAGTCTCGAGCACTTTGAATGTAATGACGTGCTTTTTGCTGCGTTGTCTTTAACAATTCTATCTAAATGCTTTCTTTAATGTGAAAGTGAATGCGAAAAATTTGTGTTTTTAGTGTTTTTAACTGCCTTCAATAGCAGAATCAAAGCAATCTAAACTAAAATGTGCCACTCAAATTGCTAGAATCAGACTGAAATGCATTTAACTTTTTTTTTTAAATTTGGCTAAAAAAGTATTGCCAACTATAAAACAGGACTTTTTCTGCTTTTCTGACATATGTCTTCATATTATGTGTACTAAACACGCACACATGA